GTCATTGTTGTTTGGCGGGTCCGGGCTGGGGATTCGAACCCGCCACCTTAGGTGTACGTGGCTGGCACCTTAGCCGGTTGAGCTATAGGCGCCGAGCCAAGTAAATCTTTATAGTCATCCGTACCAAAATGGCTTTTCATGCCATCTTACAAACATTATAAAACCAATAATAATAGGTACACTTATTAAGCACTTAGGACAGTACCTGCCATATTATGGCAAGTACTTCATTATTTCATGTAATCCCCACAACTACTCCGTGAGGTAGGGGTTACAGATGATAAAATGAGGCTTAGGGAGGTTAAGTAAATTGCCAAAATCGCACAGCCAGGATTTAAACTCTATGTAGTACCCATTGTATTCTACTGACTCTGTTTACAAGGTACTCAGTATACAAAATTGAACAGAATATTGCAATTTCTTTTCCCTGCCTTTGAAGGGATCCTAGTCTTTAGGTGAGATAGTTTCTTAGACAAGCCCTAGATAAATAGTACCAACCCCAAACGCATGTTGCCAGCCCTTAAGAGGGAATAGTTTTAGGGCAGGGGAAGGTGCTTGTCTGCTCCATGCTAAATATTATAGAGAGCTGAGCTAAAGAGTAGAACCTGATATAGATACATAGATATCTAGGGTAAGAACAAGGGTTAAGAGATTTTAACAAAGGGAGATAAGGGAAGAATAGTAGGTACTCGGAGTTTGAGGGGTTTGGTTTTTTTTTTTGGAGACTAGAGTCTCACTCTGTCATCTTGGCTAGAGTGCCGTGGCCTCAGCCTAGTTTACAGTAACCTCAAAGTCCTGGACTCCATCAGTCCTCCTGCCTCAGGCTTCTGAGTAGCTGGGACTCATGCCTAGCAAATTTTTTCTATTTTAAGGAGAGATAGGGTCTCTCTCTTGTTTGGGCTGGTCTCCAGCTGCTGAGCTCAAGGGATCCTCCGACCTTGGCCTCCCCGAGTGCTAGGATTACAGGTGTGAACCACTGTCAGACATTTTGAGATATTATGAGCATTACTTAAGGAAAAAAAAATCTTCAACAAAATGATGAAATT